CTCGGTGCGGGCCCATGTGGGTGACACTTTCAGAGGCTAGTTCGACGTGGCCTAGTGTGGTTGGCCTCGCACCAGAGGGCCGCGAACATCTTGTGGCCTTCGGAGCCACGGTCGGATTTTGGCAGTGACATGGGCAGCCCACGCATTCTGCGGAAGTTTTGAAAGCTTGTAGCCAGTTAGACGGGCCCAGAGTCCAGGATAGGTTTTGACATGTTTGATTTGTTGCATTAACTAACGGGGCGGACACGCGCTCGCCTTCGTCTCAACACTTTCCTTACACTTGCATGGCACATCTTCGCGATCGCCAAGTGGTGCTACCACGCTCTGCCATTCAGAGCGAGAATGTAAGCCGTCCGCGTCAAAGGTGTCTTGACAAAAGGGGTGAACAGACAGCGCATAGTATATTATCACTGGCACTGAGCAGTTGCATTGCGCTGCAGGCCGCCGAGTTACCCCATGCGACTTTGTAGGATTATGTGCTGCAGCCCTGACGGTTGCTAGGATTGATGATTGAGCATCGAGTTGCACAACGTGTCGCTGATTTTTTTCGCACGCGGTGTGTCAGACCACCACGATGATGGCAATGACGTCGACGACGCATTTCACGGGACGCATTTTACGGGATTGCCATGCATATTCGATGCGCGTGTCACCCGTCTCGGATGTTGTTGCCGTCGCGTAGTTCTGCATTTCATCATCGCGAATCAACCAAGTCCAGTGAACGTTTGTCTTTTCCTTGAGTTTTGTTCAGTTTGTTTTTGCAGTGTGTGTTCATGTGTGTTCTATTAGCGCAGGATTGCATTCGGAACGTCCCACACTCACTTCTTGTGCGTCCTCGTAATTGTTTCCAAGCCAACTTTGGCATGCGACGCCGAGGTCAGATAATGCTACGGCTCCTTTGTGGATGCGCCTCGGTGAGCCCGCCCGCAGATACGTCTCTTCATTCGAGCTCTCTCGTATGATAGCGGCGTGCAGCCCGGACCACGTATGTGTGCGTTTTTTTATGTTGTGTATGTTCTCCATGCACCGTAGGCGTGCTCGCGTAGTGTATCTTGGACTGTCCAACCACTGGCCCGACTGGAACACATCACGTCTGCTATATGGAATGTTGTTGTTGGGTTAGTGTACTCGGCAAGGCCGAGATGGCGTTTGATTATTCCCTTGTCCACATGCTGGAGTTGTTAGATTGTAAGAACATGCAGCGGCCGTTAGCCCACTTTGCGTTTCTCGGGGGGATCTCTACAACAGCAACGGCTCCAGTAGTTGGTCCAATCCAGAGAATCATTGAAACATATATTCGAAGTTGCGGAATAATCGCAACCGTATTTTTCAGAATATATCTCGAGTAGTAAACCGATCTCAGCGCTCTCAACTTTACACATTGATTTGTTTTTTTCTCGCTCGGGACCTCTCAACTCGCTCAGGGATCGCGCGCGCGCCCAGCACTTCCTCGCAATTCGCCGAGGCCCTGCGCCCTGGACGTCCCAGAGGGGCGCTCTCTCGCACGGGCCATATTCCTTCATGCTGCTCAGGATTCGTCCTCTCGCCTGAGGCGTTCTTGCAATGCACGAGGTCCGCTGCACTGGGGCCACTCACGTGGCATCGAAGGCAGTCGCGCCTCGCGCCTCGCGGTCGGTCGGAGCGACTGCAGAGCTAGATGCGGGTCCCCCATCCTGTTCCAGGGGGGGCGGGTGGGGCGGCTCGAACGCGCGAAGATCATCGCGCTTCGCGCAGCGCGCCACGCGAAGATGGTTGCCTTGGAGTCTGCGAAGTTCGCTCCGTGCTCCGCCAGCCCCCCTCGCCCGTTGCCCGCCCGCCTGGTCCGCCCGGTAGGGTCCACCTGCCGAAGCCGCCCGCTGGGGTCCGCCCGTTCGTCTTCTTGGCAGCCCGTCCGCCCGTTCGCGTCAGTCCCCCGCCCGACCCGCCCGTTTGACCCGCCCCTCATTGTCCGCCCGTTCGCTCAGCGGCAGCGATAGGGGGACAGCGACCCTCAAACCTGTATTGATCGCCGATAGTGGCCCGATGGCCCCAATCTGCCCAGTATCGTGCGCATTCACTACCGGGGGCCTATCGCCGATCTATCGGTGATAGTCGCCGAGTCCAGGTCGATGTGTCGTGTCCCCCCTATGCCCATCCCCCCTTTCGTTGCCCCTCATTCGCGTGTTTGGAAATCCGCCCGCCCGCTTTCATGCCCCTCGCGCCCGACCCGCCCCCTTTGGTGTTCGCCCGCCCGACCCGCGGGTTGGAGCAGGCAGACCCGCCCATAGCTCTGGTTGCCGCTGCAGCAGTCGCTGTCAGACGACCGCATAGTTCTAGACCTCCCAGTTGGGGTCGGAGTAGATGGGGTCGAAGGATCGCGCCGCATCGCCGATGCATCGGGGATGCAACCCGATGCGGAGCCCAACTTTCTCCACGCCTGCGTCGCCGACGCATCGAAGACGTCGCCGATGCATCGGCGATGCATCGACGATGCGTCGGCGATGCAGCGACGACGCAGCGCGAGCCTCCGACCCCATCTACACCGACCCCCTCTGGGAGGCCTCTAACAACTGCCCCGGTGCCGGAGGCTCGGGCCCACATTATGTTCCCCCCGAGCTCTCTATAGATTGGCACGGCCTTCCGGCCGATCGGGGGCAGCGCAGCGCAGCTGCGCGCCCTCCGGCTGCATCTCCTGTGGCCCTGGATGCCGCGGCCGCCAGGCTCTCCGCGCCTCCCGAGCATCCAGGCCTCCTGGTCGGGTTCCGAGCAGATGGGGTCGAAGGATCGCGCCGCAGCGCCGATGCATCGGGGATGCCACTCGATGTGGAGCCCGAGTTTCTCCGCACCGGCGTTGCCGGTGCACCGCCGACGCCGACGATGCATCGCCGGCGCATCGCCGGTGCATTGCCGACGCATCGCCGCCGCATCGCCGATGCATCGGCTATGCGGTGCGATCCTCCGACCCCATCCACTTCGACCCCATGCGGGTGGGTCGCGGGGTGGGTCGCGGGCGAGGACGACGACAACAAGAGGGGAACAAAAAGTGGTATAAACATAAAAACTCGGAGGTCCGCGCGGATTTCTCGGATCGGCGCTGGGCCCCCCGGCGGCGCCTCCGGCGCCGCCCTTGGCGCGCTCCGCGCGCCAGGGAGGGGGGTCCAGCGCCGATCCGAGAAATCCGCGCGGACCTCTGAGTTTTTATGTTTATGTCCTTTTTTGTTCCCCTACAACACCACCAACAACAACAAACACAACAACAAGCAGACTCCGCGCCGCGGAGGCCCACTTGAGCCACGCACCCAGGGACAACGAATGACCGTTCGGCCCCCTCACTCGGACAGGACGCCATGATATACACATAACCATGCACATACCCAAACCGTGCCTCACTAGAATACACCAGGACTGCGCCCCACGAGCTTGCGTCACTACCACACATACCGTCGCCACACACCAAAATGAAAACCAATTACAGACACTCTGAAAACACACAGACACCTAACACACAGCACATAAGCACACCAATCGCACATACGAGGAGCAATATTGATTACCAATGCCATACATAGCTAGCACGTCAAGGGCATTCAGAGAGAATCTTCGCCAGAAGCGTACACATCATGACAACAATAATGGACGCCATGACCACACCCGTGCCGAACGCCCAGGACACATCCATAGCAATCGACGGACACAGCCATCAAGAACACACTCCAGCCGCTGAATACCGACCATCGACAACAACGCATGCACCTTGCACCTGAACGCCAGCAACGCGCACAAATAGCAAACAACACGACAATACATGACGAAGACCATACACCACTGACACACATCAGTAACACACACCAATGGCGCACGCCAGTGGCACACTCTTGCTTACACCGTTCGCATACAGCAACATTGCATACAACGATCGCGTACACATTGTAGTCTGGGCGGCATGCACTGCGTTCACACGTAAACCACGTTGGCACCATGTAACAATAGTACCAACGATTCCCATTCATACCATGCATCGCGAATCTGTAGTAATGACATCACTCACGACGTACCATACACGCCACTTACACCACCTACACGAAGCACGTACCAACTTATTTGACAGGTGTAAATAACATGCGTTTGCCCATCGAATTCAATGTTCGAAGACGCCTACGGCGAATCACCGCCGCTCCTTGCCTTAGCGAATCACAGCCGCCCCCTTCCCTTTCAAAAGCGCCTATGTGGCCGAATGTTGCGGCTCGAGCTCGGCTAAGCTATCGTTCGATGTGTCCCCTCAGCCATTGTTGAAACCCTTCGTGGAACACGTGGGGGAAAAAGAAGAAGAGGAGGAGAAGAATGAAGGAGGGGGGGCTTCTTGGGGCGTGAGAAAAACCCACTCAGTGTCTAGCCTCCTTGAGGCGGAAATACAAAGTGAGAGAAGAGAGCGTGGGAACATGACGCATTTGCAGAGTTCGTGCGTGAATTTCTGTACATGCAGATGGGAGATAGGGGCTGATAGTTGAGCACTGGCGGTTGCCGGAATAGTAACGACGTAACGTGTGCACGGTAGAGGGTGGCAGAGCATGAGAGTCGACATTAGTCACGTAATTTCTGCCTTCTGTAGTTGTCGTTGATGATTTGGTCATGTGAAGCCAATTGGAGTGTCGGAATCGTGAACCCTTGATTCTATTCGGTGTTGTGGGATTTGTGTTGTAAGTGAGATTTGGTGTCTGCACCTTGCATTCTTGGTACCTGTTATCTGCGATCTATGGCCGCCGTTCTAGCAATGCAGCGGTCGAAGCCCATCCACTGTTGACTCGTCGAGCTGTGGTGGTCTTCCTCCGTACTAGCTGTCGCTCCTTACATGTGCGCAGTATTTGTTGCAGACTCCGAAATCGTGTACGTAACCGCGTGGTTCAAGCCGTCCTGTCAGAGAGCTTTCGAGAGCTAGTCGAGATAAGGAGCACTCGCAACTGAGTGAATCATTCGTTCGGTGTTTCCGTGTGCATATTCTTTCGAGTTGAGTCGTGTCGTTGATGTCACATGCTTGGTTTTGCGACCGCCTAGAAATGAACGACGTGATCGATCCTGGTCGTTACCTCGATGACTGCCGGGTCTCTTCTCTTTGGATCGGGGTGAGCAGACAATGTCGGAAGGTGAAGGAAGGGGTCCGCAGCAGGGGGTTTGCAATTGGGGCTGCATAGCCCATGTATGCTCAACATATCGCTAATGTATATGGTCGGGTATGACTGGGCCAGTCGTTCGTGCCCGCGCGTTGCCCGTGCGGACACACGCGCCGTCCATCCATTATCGGTCATGCGCGCAGGCGTTCTTGCATATCGCTCACGGGGCGGCGAATTGGAGTGCAAGTGTGTCTTGATTGCGCAATTGTTGATCGCGTCTGCTCCCAAACGATGATTTGTCGACCCCGCCACTCCCCCAACATGTGAATTCATAGTTTCCTTTTTTCCCCAAAGTGTGATTTCTCATTTTCATCTTTCCAACATGTGAATTCACATCTTCCTTTTTCTCCAAAATCTGTGAATTTTCAGATTGCTTTCCCCCACAATGCGAATTCACATGTTGCCCTGGCCTTCAAGATCCCCAGAACTGAGGCGCAGTGTTCCGCATGCCAGGTTGGCTGGGCAGATCTTGACACTCACCTCGCCGCCTTTAATTATTCCGGCCTTCTCTTCCTGCTCCCTCAGCCCGCGTTGCCTTCGTCGTCTTCCCCAGTCCCCCGCCTCCTTGTTCCATTTGCGTTCAAGTTTCGCGCACGGGTGCAGGCGGGGAGCGTCACTTGGTTCCCCCGCCGAGCACAGCAATCGAGGATGTATCGCCCAACCCATAGAACCACCGTTGCCGCGACCCTGCATCCGACCCCCGCGTTCGCCCTCCAACAATGTCGGTTCGAAACGCTCGATTCTCTTCTAGGAAGTTGGTCTCATTGCCTTTCTTTCTCCATGCTTTCATGTCATTTGTGGCATCTGCGTTCCAGCTCGGATGGTCGGCAGTTGCCCTCCCGAGCCGAACAGGGTCATGAAGGATAGAGCAGTCAAGGCGCTGAAATGAGGAATCGCTTGGGTTCGGAAGGGGCTATGCTTTCGGTCCCTCCGTGGTTGTTTCTCGAGGGGCCAAACAGGGGGATCGTTCCTCATCTGGCATTCCTCATTGTAACTGCTTGACGGTAGGACTGGGGTGAGGCAAAACGCATCACCCGGCGCGCACATCGGGTATTCATCCAGGTGTTTGTGGCAATGCCCGTCTTGGGGCTCTCTTGGGCTTCTCTTGGGCGGTCTTGAGGGTCCCTTGGGGCCCTCTTGGGTCGTCTTCATTCGGAAGGGGCTGCTTTTCAGGCAGAGCGCAGCACCCGGCGCGCACATCAGGCATTGCGAAGGCCTGACGGCCGGTGCCGCCGACCCTGAAGGGGGACGACGACGACGACGACGACGACGACGACGACGACGACGACGACCTCTATCATCCACACATTCATGAAAATCAGCGGGTTTTCCGTATCGGGTTCTCTTGGGAGTGCTTTTGGGGCTCCTTCGAGATTTTTGGGGCCGCGACGGCGGGCCTTGCGTCTGGATGGGTGCGCCTGCGTTCGGCGGCGGCGGTCGCCCGACCGAGGAACGGCACAACGTGTGAGGGCGGTCGATGCTCGTTTCGGGGACCTTCCTGGAGCCCACCAAACGGATCTGTTCGACCCCAGTTCGACTCAAGTTCGACTCAAGTTCGACTCAGGTTCGACTCAGGTTCGACTCAGGTTCGACTCAGGGTCGACCCAAATCGACTGACGTTCGACGCAGCTTCGACGCACGAGTGGAGCGAGTGGCTCCAGGAAGGTCCCCAGAACGAGCATCCAATGTGGGCGGTCGATTGTGCGCTTACGAGTCCAGCAGGGGCATGGCTCGCACGACGAGTGAGACTTTCTTTTCGGTGGCGTGTCCGGGCTTGCGGCCCTGGAGCAAGTATGCCCTTCCAAGCTTGAAGTGCGGTGCCCCCATCGTCATAAGATCACTGCAGCGTCAATCTTTCTCTCTCTCTCTCTCTCTTTCTCTCTCTCTCTCTCTCTCTATATATATCGTTGTCTCTCATTTCCTCTTCTCTCTCGTCATGTCTATCTCTCTCTCTCTCTGTTTCTCTTTTTCTCTGTGTGCCTCTCTCTCTCTTTCACTCTCCCTGTCAGTTTCTGTGCCTCTATCTCTCTCTCTCTGTCTCTCTCAGTTTCGTCATTTGTTTGTCAATACCTCTCCCTCCCCTTTTCTACTCGTATCTCGTTCTCGTTATCTCGTTGTGGTGTGTGTTTTATGTCCCTCTATCTTTATCTATACGTGTCGTTCCGTGCTAACCTCACAGATGGGCAATGGATGCAATCAGCTGCGTTTGGTCTGCATTCGGGCCGTTCGATGGATCCCGAACGCCGCCTGAGGAAATACGCCAGTCCAGCATCAGCGTATGCTTCAGGCGCGACGAGGTTAGATGCAACCCGCGGAGATGTGTTTACGGCTGTAAGGCACGCTCGGCTTGTTTCCCTTTGTTCCGGTCGCAGCGCCTTGCCTCTCGATGTTCCTCTTCGTTGGTTGTGTTTCTCATTGTCTGCGTGTTCGTCTCTCTGTTTCTTCATAGATAGCCATGTTTCTTTGCATGCGTAGTTATGAAAAACTGCCCAGGGTCCCCGGCTTCCTCCCAGATGACAATGGATTCACCCCCCCCTCCCCCAAGGTGCCCCCATCCCCCCCTCGCAAAGGCGTATTGGTTGTTTTGATGGTGTTTCGTCCTCACTAGCTCGCTCGCTCTCTTTCTCGCTCGCTCGCTCTCTTTATTTGTGTTTTTGTGAGTGTTTGTCTCTCGCTCTCTCTCTCTCTCGCTCTCTCTCTGTAAATTTAGATTATCTCACATCTGTGTCTATATACAGCACAGAATATCAACATACTTAGTAGCGCCATCACGGGCCCGAGGTCTGCCACCTCGCTGGCATACAGGCGGCCCTGGAAGGCCCTTGACGCAGTCCAAGCGAGCCTTGAGTCGTCGCAAGACCGTTCCTAGACGCGTGAGGAGGATTCCAACCATGATGATACGACTATCATAATGATGATAACGATACTGATGTTGTTGATGACGATGCTGGTGTTGGTGGTGATGTTGACGATGGTGATGTTGTTGACGATGATGATGATTACTGTGATGACGATAATGATGATGGTGTTGCTGATGACGATGATTGATGGTGATGCTGCTGATGATGATGATGATGGCGATGTGGGAGCCAGACTGTGATACCTTTGAGTATGATGCGGCATTGGAGATTATGATGAGGAGGAGGAGTATGAATGAGGAGGGAACACGGCGAGGAGAAGAATGAGGCGCAGGATTGGGAATATGAGATCGCGTCGTCCCCTATCCCGTCCTGTCCCCTGCGTGTCATCACGTTTTAGTATGTGGTTGGTATGTGATTTCTGCCTATGCCGCAGTGCAGGAAAGGTGAAGCCCGGCCGCTTTATCGCGATGTTATGTATTGCGTCGTCCCATTGCCGTATCCAGCAGGTTCACTTGCCCCATTTCGAGATGCAGAAGTCGACGAAGGGGAAGGCGATTTGGGAATATGCACGCTCCCTAGCAATGCCTCGCATACTTCATGAAACGCTTCGCCGAAGTTAAGCGTGTCGAGATGCGCAATTATGTTGCATTGCTCATTGCATAATTCTGTGTCTGATGCTGGTGCCCAGCCTTTGCCATGTCCTTCGCATCACATCATCACATCAGTCCGTTCTCCTTCCATCCACCTCTTCCACCTCCTTTCCAAGCCGCGTTTCCTTCCCATTATGTCCTCCGATTCTCCCTCTTGATGTCCCTTAGTTTCCCCGCCATCCATCCCTCCCCCCCACCACATTCTACACCACACCCTCCTTGCTCACCGCTTCACCCTCTCCTCCACTGGCCTCCACCTCCCTTCTTTGCACTCTGGGTGAGGACTCAAGATGAGGGTTGCGATGCAACGAGGAGGGGTATGAGGAGGGAGAATTTGCAGAAGTGGATCTGCATGCTTAGAGCTTGCCGACTTCGCTAAGAAGCACTGGCAAGAGCCTCATGCGAGTATGCCTGATACGATATTCACGTGAATATCATTACCAATATTTTCAACACTTTGTGTGTGGTATGCGCAGAGCCCGTAAACAGTATGCACATCAAGCACGTCGGTCGCGACCATTAACCTCGTAGGCCAGCATGTGGGTGATAAGGAGGCGTGGGGGCGGGGATGGGTGCAGTCGGGTTTCTGTAACTTCGCGTCGGACTTATTAAGCTAACCATGCGATGATCTGGCTAACGGTCTAGACAGTATAATGCTTACGCCGCACCGCCGATCCCTTGGGGCCCTTGTGAGTTCTCCGAGTGTGGCATGGGCACGTCCCGCAATATATCCGAGTCGCCCACACAGGCACGCCGAGTATTCACGACGATGAAGTGCAGCTGGTTGAGGAATCATTCGATGCGTTTTGCACACCGAGGGCGAGTGTGGGGATTATACGGTTCTGGGGGACTCGTGCGTGCGGTGGTGGAGCCGTCCGCGTCGATGCGGCGTTCAAGCAGGTTGATGTCACCGGGTCGACTAAATTAGGGTTCTCCCTCACATGGAGCTCTTGTGAGCCTAGGCGTCCAGACTGTTGCTGTTCCTGGGCCGTTGTAGGGCTCTTCATTGTAGTCTTGTCAGCGTCTCGACGAGGCATGCCGCGGGGGGTCCGGTTTGGGGGCTCTTTTCACGCATGTGCATTCTTTGGGGCTTTTTTATGCTCGTGCTGGGGCCCTGTGGGATGGGCCGTCTTGGGGGCGTTGCTCTTCAAAGGTTTTGGAGACATCCTGGGGATTGCGCGGCATGTCCCGCCATCAAGCTCGTCGGGTCTCTTGGGTGGCGAGTGACAGAGAACCGCCACGCACGACACGTCGTGCTCCGAGGTTGTGGGGAGTTGCGACACGTGAAACGCGCGTCCGCATCGCGCTGCCGCTGGAGTTGACGACGGACATGATGATGGAGAGGAGGAAGTGCCGGATTAAGAGGTGGAGGGTTGTGGCGATAATGGTGCCGTGATGAGGAGGATTGTTTGCCCGCTTTGCAAGATTACGATTGGCTCGCAGGATTGTTTGCCGACCCTTCAAGGTTACGATTGGTTGAACCCCCGTCGATGTGAATTACGATGTGCGTTTCCATTGTAGGTCGATGTATGGTGTTCGATCGGATTCCCATTTGCTTGTCGGTGTGCATGTTTGGCTGCAGTTGGTTTTCACAGTCGATTTGCTTTCCGATCGTCCGTGGATTCTTTTCCCGGCTCACACTCCCCGCGGGATATCCCACGGGATTTCCATGGGACAGGCCGCGGGACAGTTGGACAATCACACGGCATGTCACGTCACGACTACCAGAGAACCCACAGAGAAAGCCGCGGGACAACCACGGGAAAAGCACGATATGACCGCGGGACAAACACGGCCTGTGCATTCCGGGGTTGGAACAGTACGTTTTTGTTAGATTTGACCTCAGCCGCGGCTTGACAAACAAACATCGACCTCGCGCAGCTTCGTTTTGGCCGCACGCGCGACATGCGTCGAAACCGCGTTGCCGATCGAGGCCCCCGTCGCGCTCTCCCTGAACATCCGATCCAGCCACCAGATTCATTGTTGATCGACCATTGCATTTATTTTGAACAGTGCGCCAATATGGAGCATGTTCTGGTTGTGACCATATGCGCATAACTACCTTTCAACTTCCATGCTTATGCCACGGGACCCCCCCCAGGAAGACACCACAGGACATCTCATGGGACAACCACTTGGGCATTCCACGCTTCAACCTTGTGACAAGCCACGGGACAACCACGGAGCAACCCACAAGGGAACCCACAGGACCACCCACGGGGCAATACAACGAACAACCCGCGAAACATTCGCAGGACACCGTGCGGTGCACCCCACGGGACAGCCACGGGACAACCGACGGGACAACCACGGGACAAACACCAGGGCAAATACGGCGGGCAAACGCGACATCGACGCGTAGTCATTTTATGAGAGTTATGTGTAGTGTTGTTCTGTTCGTGCGTCTTCGTTTTGCGCATGCGACACGAACCGAGGCCGACAGATTTCCCAGTGTTGGGCTTTGGGTTAATTTCGGCACCTCCCCATCAGCATTTCCGACAACTTGTCTAACGTATGCGATTGTGCACCGTTCCATGTTTTGACATGCGTGGATATGGTAGCGATCGCATTCCATGTGCAAGCTATCAGACTAATATACTGGGCACCGTGCCATATGCGCATTCGCTTGTGAGCAACGTACCTTGCGCCCGCCATTGACGGTGTGCATGTATACTGCCGCCACCCGTATAGAACAGCACGTCGTTTATCATACAGCGTATTGTTCCACCGCGTTACCATCGATCCTCAATGCGTCTAATTTCGATTGGCTTCACAGGACAGAGCTGGTTGTCTTGACAGGACAGATGCATACATTGCCTACCCCCAAGTCTTGTTTTTTTCACACGCATGTGGTATGCTTCGCGTTCATGGAAAAACGCATGTTTATTTATGGGTACGGACATTACACAGGCACGTATTTGCACATCCATGCTTGAAACAGTTCAGGGGCAACCCACAGGACACACGCGGGACAACCACGGTCTATCACCACACACGGGACACCCTCAACGCCATCACCGAACAGTCCACGGGACAAGCACATGACAATGGTAGTAGAAGTGATTAGATAATGTTCTCCCATCTCTTTCTCTCTCTCTCTCTCTCTTTACATGAATTTAGACAGTCATATTTTATACATATGGGCCTCTCCTTCTCCTGTCTTTATTTCCTTGCTCGGAATCGTCCCCGTAGTCACCGCACTGCTGTTATTGTTCAATCTCGTTTTTTTCTCGTATTGTTGTTCACCTCTGTCGTCTTGTTGTTTCTCTTCTTCTTCGTTGTTCCTCTCGCCCCAGCAGGTCCTGTGTTGCGCCTGCCCATGCTATTTCGTTGACTTTCTCTCCTGCCCCGCGACTTCCTCCCCAGTCCTCAATTGCATTAACCATCACCTAACGTCTCACTCCTACTCCTCAGTCCTCCGTGTTTCGCCACCTGCTTCACCTCATCGCCAGCATCTTCGCCGCCTTCGTCCGCATCTCCTTCCCCATATGACAACATCGTTGTTCACTCATCTCTCATAGTCGATCATCAATTTTCATCCTACTCACCTAGATGATCCTTCTCGGCCACCTACTCCCATCCTCTCCTTCTCATCCCCACTATCGTGGGAAGAGTTGTGGGATGATTGGGGCGCCCTTGTAGGCCAGAGTCTGCAGGCCCGTGCACATCGGTTAGATGTGGTTGCTGGTGTGTTCGCGTTCACGGGCATTCAGAAGCACGGAGACCAAGTCGTGGAATCGTTTCCCATTTGGAAGTTATCCTGATCTTGGGTTGTATCTTCATTATTCTCCCTGTCCTCTTTCCCTTCCTTTATCGTCTGCTGCTGTCCCTCCTGTGGGCAATCGAATCCAAACGTTTGAAGATTTTTGGGGTGGGTGGAAGCGCGGGATTCGGTCGGGTATACGGTCTCTGCAATATCCCCCGCCGCAAGGGCAAGGGCAAGGACGGCAAGGATTGGCACAAGTCCTACGAATGGGAGGACTGGAAGAAGCCCTACAGGGAGCCTTTTGAAGGTTCCCGCCATCACCAGGACAAGCAGGGCTCGACCCAAACGGTGTTCTGGCGATTCCGTGGCCCGTTCTCGTGTCAATTGCGTCTTGCAGCAAGGGGGTTGGACGAATGCAATGCCAGGGAAACTTCAAGCATCCGAAAACGAGGCGCACTGCTCGGGTCGAGCCCTGAGGACACGGAGGCTCGGTGGGAAGACCACAGAGGCGAGCGTCACGCCCTCAGCCTGCCGAGATCTCGACCGCATGTGGGGGGGGGGCGGGGGGGCGATTGCCTGCCTTTCCGGATGCTCCGTCTGTGGCCCCTCTTGCCTGTCTTGGCACCTGCTCCTCTCTTCTTCTCCTCCTCCTCCTCCTCCTCCTCCTCCTCTTCCTCCTTCTCCTTCTCCTTCTCCCTCCTCTCTTCTTTCTCTCCCCCTTCCTCCTCCTCCTCCTCCTCCTCGTCCTCCTCCTCCTCCCCCCCCTCCTCCTCCTCCTCCTCCTCCTCCTCCTCCTCCTCCCTTCTCCTCCTCCTCCTCCTCCTCCTCCTCCTCCTCCTCCTCCTCCTCCTCCTCCTCCTCCTCCTCCTCCTCCTCCTCCTCCTCCTCCTCTCCTCCCGGTCCCCCTCCCGGCTGGCTCCCTTGCGGCGCGTGGGCTCCGCGCAGCTCCCTGCGCCTGCCGTGCCCGCTCGGGCCCACGCCCCGCTGCGCCTCGAGGCAGCACGCGCGGAGCCCTTGCCCTCCCCTGCGGGGCCTTTTGGTGGCCCCCCCGCGGCCGTGGCAGCCTGCGCCCCCCCTGGGCCGGCTCGCCGACGTGCCGGCCAGCTCCGCGGGGCTCGAGGGGCGGTCGGGTATGCAGGGGGCCACATGCGAACCCTACCCCTAACCCCCCACGATTTCTGAGGGGGAGGGTGGGGTTCACTTCGCTCGGGAGCTCCCGAGCGAAGTGAACCCCACCCTCCTCCGCAGAAATCGTGGGTGTTCGCATGTGGCCCCCCAGTATGGCCAGGACCCCAGGTAAGGGGACCCGGTTAGTGGCAGGGCCCCGGAGCCCCTGCATGAGTGGGCCAGAATCGCTAGGCCAGGTCTGCCGTGGCTGGTGTTGATCGGGTGACGGCAGTTCCGGTTAGTGGAACGGGGCGGGGGGGCGTCCCCCAGTACATATCATCATTAAACCAGGTTCCACCAAGCCCAGTTCTGCCAACACCCGAGACGGGGGTCAGTGTAAGCGGGGGGCAGTCAGAGCGCAGGGCCTTGCAGGATCCTGCAGGTCCAGGGTCGCACTGACCCAGGCTTGGGTGCAGGATTCTGCAGGATCCTGCAGGGTCCTGCAAGGCATGCCGCATGCCTGACCAGATGTTGCATTTACCCGACTAACTTCGCGGGCCTTGAGGTCTGACGTTGCAAACAAACATGGAACGTAGTCGAAAATCCCTTCTGGTGATCGTTTCCTTATCCATTCTTTTGCCGATCGCCGCGGGCCCTCGCACCCCCCCTCCCCCCCCACCGTGGAGTAGACTTTGGTTGTTTTGGGGCTACGTTTCAAGCAGGTGGAGTCTCCCCCGTAGGACGCGCTGTTGCAAGCAGTCGCGGGATCCGGAGCCAGACCCATCCCCCCCCCCTCTTCCGCCCACGGTCGACACGCCGAACAAGAGAGCGTTCGCCTGGAGCCCTATAGACCCCGCCCTTCTGCGTCATTCGTCGACCCGGATCGGCCCGTGAGGGCCCTTGGGGCCCAAAGCCAGGGGGAGACCGCCCGTGGCGAGCAGAGTGTGCCGCCAAGGTCTCAGGGGTGCCCGTCGGACGGGGCCAAGGGCGAGGACGAGTCCGTTCCAGGGCGTTCCGGAGCGCTCCCGGAGTGTGCCGGAACGCTCTGAGAGGGCCGCGGCGGTGGTGACATCCTCCAGAGTCGCGGGATCTCAGAGATGCCTGGTTCATCCCCACCCGGTTTGATCCTCTTCCTGGCTTCGTCTCACGAGTGCGACGCAAGGATTTCAGGGGGGCCTGGGCTGAGTCTGACCGTCTGGGCCTCCAGTGATGGGGTCAGAGTAGATGGGGTCGGAGGATCGCCCGCATCGCCGATGCATCGGCGATGCACTGGCAATGCGGCTCGATTCGGGGCCTAATTTTATCCGCGCCGACGTCGCCGATGCATCGCCGACGTCACCAGTGCATGGCCGATGCATGGCCGATGTACAGTCGGCCAGCATGGTAAGAATGGGCAACCTTCCCAAGGGTACCCTTGCATCCTTGCCTCCTCGGTCCATCCTTGACCACTTTCGCTGGCCGCGCCCCGCTCGAGAAGCTTCGGAGTGGCCCTCCAAGGTCCTTGCATCCTTCTATCGAGCATCCTTGTACGGGTTGACTGTCTCGGCGATGCGGCGCGAACCTCCGACCCCCATCTACTCTTAAATTGGGCATGTCCCTCTATAGGAGGGATATTCAAAACTAGTAGAAAACCAGTCTGGGGACGATGTTTCGACTCTGTTTGACTACGTTTGAGTCTGTTTTGATTCTTTGCTTTTTCATTTGTTTTCCAAAACCCGCCTCTCGGAGGACGTGCCCGACCCAAACCTGCTCGGACCCCATCCATATAGGAAGCCCACAGAGGACGCACGCGCCAGACCATGTGCATGAGAACGCGGCCCCCCCTATGCCGCGAGACCGGCCGCGTGCTACGAACGTTCGCGCAGTGCCAATTCTCGAGACCCACGTGGACTCGTGTCGACTGGACGTAAGAGTGACCTTTCGCCGGAGTGACCTTCGGCGTGGGCTAGACGTCGGGGATGGACAGACCTCCTACCCTGACACGTCGATAAAGGAATTGGCCGTTTTCGGTTCGCGAGAGGGCGTCGCGGCCGTCACTTCCGCGGGTCCAGGTCCGTGGGTTTCGGTCCCAGGTCGTTTTCACTGAGGGGAGATCTACCGGCAACGCGCAGAGGGGGGTCGGGGGAGGGGGGAAGGCTTCTTAGAAGCACCCCTGGTTCTTAGAAGGCGCGGGCCTTCTCGATAGACGTAAGGCCGAGGTTTGTCCTCCGCCGAAAAGGGGGTCCCCCGCTCGCCGAGCGCGATGCGGTGGCAGCGTCTTGCGCGCGCGTGCGCGGTCCCCCCCGCGGGCCCCCAGGAGGCCGCGCACCGGAGGCCCCTCCTGCCATTGGGGGGGGGCCCTCCTGCGGGCATCAGTAGCCGCTCCCCGTGTCTTGGCGTCACTCGGACGTGTGCATTTTCTCTCGGCGACGGCCATCGAGGACCGTCCTTGATCATTTGGCGAAAAACCACGCACGAAATCGAAACATACACGAGGAATGGACGTCCGAGCGATGGCGAGGTGCGTGTGCGCCCTGCGTCCCGCTTCCGCCCCCGAGCGTCCGGGAGGCCTCCAACGGGGGCCGCCTCTCCGCCGTTGGCGGGGCCTCGCCGGCGGCGAGGGGGGCAGAGCCTCGGGCGGAGAGGGTGCGCGTGCCGAGGCCCTGTCGGGCTCCCGTGCTGCCCCTGCTGGGCCTCCCGGGAGACCCTCGTCGACCACCACCAGAAGTTGGAGGGGGAGGGAATCCTCCTCCTCCTCCTCCTCCTCCTCCTCCTTCTTCCCCCCTCCAACCTGTGGTGGTGGTGGTGGTGGAAAACAGGTCCATCATCGGTTCTGAGTCCTTGTCAGAGCTCACCCCGGGAGGCTGAAGGACTTCCGAGCCTTCCGAGGAGGCCCGCCCTTCTCATGTCCCCTCAGTCGAGCCGCCGAGATGAGGAACAAGGCAGCGACGAAATCCGAACCCTACGCTCGCCGATGTGCGATTCAGGTAACTCGATGGGCGGCGATGGTAGGGTTTGAGCTTGTAGAGCACGTGGCGAAATCTGAACCTTCTACCCCCAATCTCCCATCGTTCAGGAAAACCGATTGTTGGTCGGGGTAGGGTTCGCACGGCGCCACCTCACACGTGTACCGATCCCGCTGCCCTTGCCTCCTTTTCCCTATGTGTGGGCCTCCTGGGAGGCCGTCGTCGCCACGTCTGCCTTCGCCTCGGGATCCTGGTCAGCTCGCACCCTGGGAGAGATCCGGGGAGAAGCGGTGTGGGTACCTTTTGGCTTCCTTAGCCGTCCGCCCGCAATGTGGCGATGGCGCTGGACAAGCCGTCGGAGGCCTCGAGGTTGGCGCCAGCGCCAGTGTCGACTGTTGCCTCCACCGAGGGAGGAGGATCCCGATCTCGGTGATGGTGGTGATATCCAGGCTTCTGGGTGGCCGACATAGGTTCCACCAGCGCCAGCGCCAAAATCTGTGATCGACCTCCCTTGGTGTTGGGTTTGGTGCCAGGTGTCATGCCTTGTTGAAGCAGGCAAGCCTCTCTGGTAAAGCACAGCGGACGCGTGCGCATTGCTGGTGATGATGAGACGCGTCACGATTGCCGCTCGTCTTGTCCGCACCCGCGGCAGCCGCAGAAGACCCTGGAACCGAACGTGCCCCGAGGACGGCTTTGCGGGCCCGCCAAGCTAAGACGGGCCAGCGAAAAGCGAGCCCCAAGGCTCAGGGGTGAAACATCTACTGATTCCGAGGCCCGTCCTGAATGTTCCTCGTCTCGGCGGCGAGCCCGGGGTGGAGTGAGAATGGGCAGGTCTTCTCACAAGGCGCGGAAGCCCCGCGGCCTTCTGAGAAGTTTTGTAAGGTTTCCCCGAAGACACAGAAAACCTTTTAGAGGGCGCGAGGGCTTCTGAGAGGTCCCGCCGCATTCTGAGAAAGCCTTCCCCTCCCCATTCCCCACCCTCGCTCGCCGCCGAATCAGGGCGTGCAGACGTGCGCCTGAAGTGTCCAGTTTCGGGCGCCGTGGCGCGTTGAGCTGTGGGTCTTATCCAGGTCCCTTTGCGCCTTGGGTGCCTCCTTCCGCACACGCTCAATCCTGGCGTCCTCCCGCCGAGGCCGTGGCGAAGATCGTCGCGATTGGAACGGCCGCGATTGGAACGCGGAGGACCCGCGTGTGGGCGTGTCGCGTGGCAGTTGCAGTGTGAAGCGGTCCAAACAAGAAATTCGTTGAGGAAGCCATGGAGTTGCTGGCAAGGTTGCAATGTTCATAAACACGCTGTCGGCGTCCCCGCCAGTTTTGCAGATCGACGTTTGTTTGAGTCAGTGGGCGCAGATTATGTTAGGGTTTCAGGTCACGTATTGTATCTTGGCCCACCTGCCAGTTTTCTGTCCAGTTTCATGATGTTTGCCATGCGGCCAGAGATATTACAAGGCTGCAGGCCTGACGCCCAATTTCGGGGGCGCCGTGTTGAACATAGGTTGGTTGTGCCTCAAGGGCGGAAATCATAAACTGGAAGAACACCCCGCCCCTGGCTTCTTCGAAGTAACAGTTCGAGGGGCGTCACGGGAAGTCATGGTCAAGCTCGTCAGACGGGCCAATGAAGGCATCGGCGATGATGGTGATCGTGTGTTGGTTCAGGTGACGTTCGTGTGAAGCGCATCGGGGAATCAAGATCTTGGTATTTAATTTTGGCGGCTTGCGCGAGGAGGTTGAGTCCGAGCACGCGGGCGAGTCCGCCGACGCGAAGGGCAGGGTTGATGCAAGGGAGAGCGGCAGTGGGCGGAGGTTGCTGAGACTGCGAGTGCAGAGGAACTGCAGACGAGGAGGGTGTTGGCACGGCAGTACAGCACAGCCCCGTCAATGTGCTTTGTTCTCAGGTTGACTACGCACGGCGACGCCCCGTACTAAGTGAGTCTTCGTGGGAGGGGGGCTATTGCTGCAGCCCCGATCGGTTGTGGTCGAATTGCTTGTGTTCATACCTATGCGGGCAGCTGCAGTAGTTGAACTTCAGCGCGCCTCTGGTTTAGCACGCGTGAGGAGGTAGGTAAGACAGCTTGGACCAATGCCATTCGGAACGCGATCGGTGCTGTACAAGGTGAGTTGGCGACAGACACGTGTCTGTCGTTTGTTCACACGTGACCTCTTGTCACTTCACACTCTCAAATGTCTACTGCACAGACAGCCGATCTTAAATGACCCAGCGCGCAACGTGTCCCAGTTCGCATGAGACTCCCGGGCCGCACCAGGCAATGGCGATCCATTGGCAGTGCGTCCTTTCAGGTACAGCCACCTTCGTCGCTCGAGGCAGATCGCCTTTGCCAGACGCGAGACAAAAGCCTGCTCTCGCGATCTCTCCTCCTGACATATTGCCAGGCCTTGCTTGCCAATGTTGCCAGGTACGGGAGTCGCAGACGGGTGCGCAAGCTGGACACGCAGCGGCGCTTCGCTGACATTTTACCCGCCGCCTGCTATAGCATGCTGTGCACCGCAACACTCCTTTTCGCGACATGTCTCGTTATGTTGTTGCATACCTGTCGGTCAAGACTCGGTGAGAGCGCGAGAGTAGCCATTAGGGGCAGTTTAGCCCCCTCTGAATTCCCCCGTTGAGGTCTCCGACGTTTCCCAGAGACCCAAAAGTGACAGCAAAGCCCACATCAACTCTGAGAGCTTCGCTCCTCCCTGAAGCCTGCATGGGACTAAAATTAGCCGATCGGTTAGATTAGACGAATTCGTCTAATCTTGCCGATCTTCTAAAGTTAACTGAGTAGTTTAATTATGGGGATAGCTGGTAGGTTAAATCGTAGGTTAAATATTAGGTTAGATCTTAGGGGGTAGGTTAGGTTAGGTTATATGTTAGGGGGTAGGTTAGGTTATGTGTTAGGGGGTAGATTAGGTTAGATTTTAGGTCATGTGTTAGGTTCTATGTTTGGGTATGCGATAACCAGTATGTATAGCATGTATTGTTTTGCGCCGTTTTACACAGCAACTGCGTCCAATGTTCTGAACAGCATGTCAAGGGCAACGCAATACTTGCCAATGCCTTTGTTCCCGATTTGCCAGGATGAGCACCGCTTGGCGCAAGAACATGCGAGTTTGCGCATCCTTGACATTAGATCTTCGCCACGGAAGCACCACATCTTTTTAGGGTTTGATCGATCCAAGCAGCAGTGCAACAAGACATGCGTTTTTAATAGTTATGTGAAACAACTCATTATCCTGTGCGTCCTCGTTATTTACAAAGAAGCCTGCATCTCGTTCCACAGACACAAGAACGTATGGCACGTGCCTAACAAGTCCAAGCGCATGTTCCTTGGAGTTGTATAGCATTCCTGTGGAATCGCATCCAACTTTTCATCGAGCAGGACACTCAATTGAATTAGCAGCCGAACCTTATGGTGCATATCACTATCGGGATTCATTCTTTTCTGCCATATTTCAAGGGGGACTGGCCCCAGGCACTCTATCTCAGCAGCTTTTCCTCTGAGGTTTGCCTTCGCCCGATTGCTGAACATAGATACCTTTATATGGGAAAATCGAGTCTTCACCTTGTCGCGCTTGTTAATGTCAACAATATATTTTTGTATGGTCGCCATGTTCTGGGCGGGATCACCTATGAGCACATAGCGGGTCAAGCAAAGCAATACTGAACCATACAATTTTTGTTCACGCCAAAATATTTGAGGTGTACCCAATCTGGCTTTACCGTCAAAATTGTAACGCCAGGGACCTTAAACAACGGGTGTTCCTCCTGATGGCCCATGGCCATCCATGTAGCTATGGTGTGCGTCTGCTTTAAACATTCAGCGTTTTTTGCGGAAATCCCACCATGGCATAGCCGTTGAGTTGCAGGGGCACCACCCGCACGGGCCATTCAAAATGTTAGGATTAGACATACCCACGTGCTTAAACACATGTAGTCGGGATCACCGGTCAGACCCCACACGCACGCGTAGTGCCCCCCAGCGAGCAATCCCGTGGGCGAGCCCTCAGGCATCGGATTGCCTAGCTCGCCGACTTCGGGCCACGTGCCCAACCACAGGTGCTCTGACCACCTGAGCCTCCTACATATATACACTAAGGTTTTGCCTGCTGCGCCTGACGTTTGAACTGCTTCGAGCAGCATGCAGATCACGAGTTGAGACATGTCGGTCGGCCCTGTCGCAACGAGCGAGCCCCAGCTCCAAATGTCCATGAGTTTCCCCAAAGCTTTCCCAAGGCCAGTAATCGGCGTTCCATCGCCGTGCACAGAAATCGGTATGGCCAAGGATTCGTGGTTCGGGCGGCCGCGAATTGGATGTGATAAATATTGTGGCGTCGATCTCACGTCCTGCCAGAACGCCCGCAGCACTGTGGCGGACGGGCACATGAACGATTGCCGTGCATTTTTGTGGCAGTGGAACATCTTCGCACAAACCACATGCGGGCGCAACATGTCCATGGTCTGGAAGTGAGTCCCACAAGCGCTCTGCTTCAGAATTGCCCTGAACGGCAGCGGGTAGCAGCATGAATGAGGGGAGCACTTCTTGACGAGCTGGTTGCTCATATGCTGGGGGTGCCGCCCAGAGGTTCCAAGGGGCGATTGGAACTGAACCGCGTCCATCTCTAGTAGACCTGCTGCCTGGGCGGCGAGGTCGTCCTTCATGAAGCCAGAGATGCGCTGGACTTGTTGCGGGGTCATCCGCCCCCAGCTCCACTCCTGCAACAGGTATATCGCCAATTTACTACTGGCCTTCGCGGCGGCCTCGGCGGCAGCAGCCGCCTTGGCTCGCTGCCTGATGCCGCCGCGCCGCTGGAACATATCCATGGCGTGAGCAACAACTGCGAGCCACAGATATGGAGCGACATCTCGTGCCACAACTTTTACGGAACACCTGCGAGTTTGTGTTGAGGGCGGGTTGGGAAGTCCAGTTTGGGCTGGGTTTAAACCCAAAGCCAATTTTTTGAACAGTGCAGTTTGGGTTGAGTTTAAACCTAAAGTCAATTTTGTGAACAATGCAGTTTGGGGTTGGGTTCGGATGCAAACTAGACTTCCCAATCCGACCTAAACGCTTCTGTTTTGTTTAGCTATCAACTGCGACTTGAACAAGCAATGTGGGGCATTGCCGAGAATATCGCATAGGGCTCGAAATGCAATGACGCGTGCCAAGGCAAATCGGAAAAGGAGCGCCGCACTCGAATTTGAGACCCCCTCCCTTTCGGGAAAAGGGGGTGGTCTCGAATTGGTCCGATTCCAATTGAATTCTACCACGTTCCCACCCCCGAAAGGCCTCCCACGACGCCATCCTGAGGGCCCCCCGCGGCCCCCAGAATCCTCGTGCCTACATCGGGAAGCCTGAACTTCTTAAGGTGCGTCAGTCATCGTGTGAACTGGACTAAGCTTAAACCGAAATGGACGACTGAACTCAAAGAGCGACTGAACTTGAACCTCAAGGACGCCTGACTTCAAAGAGTGTCTGAAATTCCACGCCAAGGGCGTCTGGACCTAAACTTATAGCAACGTCTGGCCTCAAACTGAATTGACGTGTAAGCTTGAACCTGGAATGACGCCTGAACTTAACTAAAACATTAGACCCCAATGCTCTGCATGCTCTCAAGACGCCTCTGGGGGGGGGGGGCGGGGGGATGGGAAGGGGGGGGCGTGATAAGGAGAAAGGGTGTGTTTCAACGGCACAGCGCAGCACTGGCGCACGGAGGTGAAGGCGAGAACGTCGTTGTCTTCGTTGGGCTCGCCGTGCTGCTTCAGGACTTCAGGAACGCCTTGGCAGCCTTGACGGTCTCCTGCGCCCTCTCCATGTGCACGGCAGTCTGACCGAGCGCAGACTGGATCTTGCTGCAGCTGTAGGCGGTCCCGTCGCCGCACTTCTTGAACCTGTGCATCTTGGTGAGCTCGCGATTGTCCTCCTCCATCTGCTCGATCTGCACCTCCATCTTCTCCTTGACGTCGACTTGCACGCCCGACAGCTTCTTCGCGGCCAGCTTGTCGTAGGCCTTCGTGGTCTCTTTCAGGCATTTCTCCAACGCGACGATCTCCTCCCCGATCTTCTGGTGCGCCTTGTACGGCACCTCGCCAGAGTCAGCCTTCTTCGCCTCAGCGTTCGTGAACTGGGAGCCAAACTGTATGCGATCGACGGCGTCGGAAATCTGCTTCTGCTGCTCTGGCGTTACATGTTTGCCCTTCTGCAACGTGTTCGACTTCGTCACCTCGTGGCTGGACCCGACCACGACCTCGCGGGTGGCGCAGGAACGTTGCTTGCCATTCCTCCACGGCGCCTGCGCGGATCGCCGCCTCGAGGCCCTTCTCCCCGTCCTTGAAGCGCTCCTTGGTGGTGTCGAAGTGGGCGCCGATGCGCCTGTCGTTCCCGTACGCGGTCTTCTTCTGCTTGACCTCGGCAGCGAACCACGGCGAATGCCAATTCGGAACGAGCCTGCCGCCGTCCTTCATGAACACGTTGTTCACGAGCTCTGTCCCCCTCGCCCTATTGCCGCTCGGGTGGCGGTGGGCATCGTCGAGTAACGTCTTGACTTCGTCTGGAAGCGTGCCGCGAATTTGCGCCAGCTTCCGCATCTTCACCTGGTCCCGAGCTTGAGGGGTGGCGGCAGCAGGCTTCTTGTTCGGGCTCTTCAGGACCATCCTCGGGGGGGCCTACAGGCTTCTTTCATGGCGGCACAAGTCTTCGACGAGGCGGCTGGCTTGCCGTCGCGCGTCGCTGAGGCTGCTGGCTTGCCAACGCCTGCGTGCGGCTCATCTTCGTCATCAACATCTGCCCCAGCCTCGTCTTCTTCCCCAGCCTCTGGGTGGCCATCCTCGTCGGTCTCCTGGAGGTCCTCGGGCTTCACAGCTTTCAACGCCTTGATCTGAGCGGCTGCTGATTTGGCGCTCATCTCGTCGAGCAGTGCAGCGTATTGGGAATGCCGAGCACTGGTCAGGATATCACAGCGCGCCCATCTCGAGTTCAAATGGCTACATGTGTTATCAGATTTGGATGGGCCTGTAGAGGCCCATGGGGGTGTGTAGGGGGCCGTAGGGGGCTGTGGGTGAGGCGACTGACGTACTACATCTGTTCAGTTCTGGTTCGGAAATGCATTAATATTGGAACGACCCAGAAACCGAAAAGTTGAGTTTGGGTTGAGTTCAACCCAAACTCAACTCTTAAGCCCCAAATTCAACCCAAACTCAACTCTCTAAGGCTCAAAAGTTGAACTTGGGTTTAAACTCCGCCAAAACTCAACTTTTCGGTTTTCGTGCCGCTACCAATTCGCAGACATTTGCAATCATTATTGCATTGGGTTTGAATGGTGGGATGTAGAACGATGGCTGTAGGCTGAGGCCCGATGAATGAGCGCTGCGTGCGGATCTGGCAGCATACATGCATGTGACAGTTGTTTTTCTAGTAGTCATGCAACCAGTTGTAGTATACTGATGTGCCGCTCGAGGCAGCAGCAGCGTCTGCGAGACTAGCGATGAGGGCAGCGCCGCGGGCCAGGACGTCCCCAGGCGACATGTGCCTGGGGGTGTTTACCTCAAGCTGATGCAAGCACATCTTGACTTCCTCGTCGTGATCGGTGGTCTGCTCGACGCCCTGCTGGACGACCTGCTCGACTGTGCTCTCGATGGCCTGCTTGGCGGCATGCTCGATGCCCATGCCCTTCTCGAAGGTGCTCTCGCTGGTCTGCTTGGTGCCCTTGCCCTTCTCGAAGGTGCCCTCGATGGTCTGCTCGATGCCCTGCTCGACGTGCTGCTCGATGACCTTGGCCTTCTTCGAAGGCGGGGGATGCGAGGAAGACGAAGAGGCGGCCGCGCGTTTGAGCAACGAGCTCTTGGGCCACAAACGTGCGGCAACTCTAGGATGCTGGTGAACTGGCCTGGCTGCCACAGGGCCTGGCGGTACTGGGCCTGGCGGAACTGGCGTAGGAAGAGGTGCATCATCCTGGGCCCCAGGACGTTTTGGGGATCCTCGCCAAAGAAATCGGAACTTCGAGTCGCCGCCAATCTCGGGCCACGCTGACCCGTCCAACTCCAGGGCGCACTGGGCGTACCCTGGCTTCTCAAGCTGCGCGAAAGCAACGCACTTCAGGGCATTCGCGATGTTTCCCTTACGAACGATATGAATCTGTGAGATCTGAGAACAGCCCTCGGCCTCCAACCTCGATCGGATCATAAGCTGCGTAGCTCTGGCATCGATTTGCCCAAGAAACACTTTGCTGAGATCAACGCGTGAACCGTGGTGTGAAATCTGCGGTGTCATAACATCTCTTTGGAGCCATTCAACCGCTACGGAGCCAAAATTGAAACTCTATGAGCGAGGGTGGGCTCGAGGGGGCGAAAGGGAGTTGCGTGCGAGGGCGATTGTTATTTAGACGTGGACTATCTAAGTAAGTCGCACATGGCTCACATGATCATATAACAGTAAGCCCACGCAATACACAAGTGTAACATATATATATACACATATAAAGCAATGCAAACTAATCCACTTCAACGTTCCAAGCGCACGTGATCAAGTAATTCACACTTACACGATGGACGATATATGTGGTGATTAGGTTTAGGCGGGTAATAAACAAGCCGCATCTAGCTTCATCTGGTCATATTAATAATGTAAGCCGATGCACATCCATAAACCAATTCAAACGAACTTACATTAACAATCCAGACGCTCATGGCGCCTAAAACACTCAAGACACTCTCAAGACGAGGGGAGGGGGTCGAAGAGAGGAAGAACGTTGTGCATCGCAGTTCGCATTGTACGCATACGAACATCATGTCATAGCAATCGCCCCGCACTGTGGCTGACGAAACGCAGCCGTGAATACTAGAGAGAAGTAGGCCTGGCCCCGCGCAGGCCTGCTCTAGCCCAACCCAGTACACAATAACTCTAAGTGCGAAGCGCATGAGCAGCCCTCTTGGCCTTGCAGTCCGGGCAATAGCCGAACCACCGATCCTTCAGGCAGCCGATGCCCTCGTCTTTGAAAAGCTGCTGCTCCTCCACGCTGTCTGGCTTGTTGTTCGGGCGCTCCGTGACCTTTGCCGCCATCATGGGCGTGACCTTTGCCGTCTTCATGGGCGTGACCTTTGCCGTCTTCATGGGCGTGGCATTCATTGCCGCCTTCATGGGCGTGACCTTCGCGGCCGTCTTCACGGGCGCGACCTTCGCCGTCGTCATGGGCGTGGCCGCCGTGGCCGTCTTCACGGGCGCGACCTTCCTGGCCGTCTTCATGGGCGCGACCTTCCTGGCCGTCTTCATGGGCGTGACCTTCGCGGCCTTATGGGCGTGACCGCGGCCGTCGCCTTGGCCTTTTCGACCTTCCTCTTCCTCGGCGGCCTGACGGGGGCCAACTCCTGGACGTGGCGCAACGCGTCCCAATCGTCGCCAGAGATACCATTGGGCTGCATCAGCGGTGGCGCATGCCCGTGACACTCCCCCACCGCCGAAGCACTCGGGTAGCCGTCGTCCTCCGTGCCTGACCCAATCTCCAGGTCAGCTGCGAGCCTCTTGAAGGCGCTCGGGAGGTCCACGTCGCTCACCTCGGGATCTGGGCTCTTGTCCCTCTTGGCAAGCGCGCGCGTCGGTGCCCTCCCCGGCGTCCTCGGGGCGCCGTCGTCACCTGCCCCCAGCCCGTCTGCCGACTGCGGGCGCCTCACTTCACGGCGACCCCCTTGGACGCGACCGCGGCCCTGGCGGGGCCGACTGGGAGCGGGGAAGGGCCTCCACCTCCTCATCCACGTTGGTCCGCACCATCTCCATCATCACATTAATGCCATCCGCCTCCGCCGCGCCTGCTTTCTGGAAGCAACGGCGACGGGCCTCGGCGACATGCTTCGCATCCCTGAGGTTCGACAACATGATACGAATCATCGTGGACAATGCGATGGCCCAAACCTCTTGCGACTTGTTCGAGAAATTCGCCTTCTTATCATCATCAACTAATTTCAATGCTTTCTCGAGCTTGAGGGCGGGGGCGCAGCCGTTCGTGCATGCGACGAGGAGGCGCATGAGCAACGGCTTGACGTGCAACAACAGATCAGCGCGCGGAGCCGTCTTCCACGTGAGGCTGGCCTGCACAACAGGCTCGAAGAACCCGTAGATGTCTCTGTTATCGTTGCGATCCTCCTGGATGAATTTCTCGATGCATTGCTGGAGGTCGCCCACAGAGATCAATGGATTAGGATGGTGGCGAGTCGACTGGGAGGGCGCATCCCTCTCGCCAGTCGGCATCGCGGTCGACCCCTTGCCAGCGGCCATCGCCTCAGGGAGCTGGCACAGAGAGCGCAAAAGCCATGTGCGATACTCAACTGTAAAATCAAAATCGCGCGGAATCGCAACTTCTCAAAAAAATGCCCGAATCGGCTACGGAGAAGGATTGAGAAGAGGATGTTGTTGTATATTTGCGAACCCAAACTAAACCCAAACTAAATCCACACTGAACCAAAACTATAGATCATGTGGGTTGAGTTCGGGTTGAAACTAAGCCCAAACTAAACTTTCAGGAATGATGCAAATCCAAGGCCAAACTAAACCCAAACCAAACCCAGACTCAACCCAAACCCACCCCAAACTAAACCCAAACTAAACCAAACCCATCTGAGTTCGGGTTGAGTTTGGGCTTCAATTAAACCCAAACTAAATTTTCTGTAATATATATATATATATATATATATATATGAGCGCAACTTCGAAATACCTGGCCATTCTTTTCCCACCAAACACGAATGAGGCCGGCTCTGAGCGCCCACTCTAAAATTCTAGCACGAAATACAAAATTGCGAAGCCGGAGAACCATGTCAACAAACATATGTTATCATGTCGGAGTGCACGTCCAGAGCCGGTCCCGACCATGTTTGGTGGAAACCATACAAAATCCCCAAACAGTTTCCTGCCCATCGACCTTCCTGGGAGTTCAGTTTGGGTTCGGTGTCAATCCAAATTCAACCCGCAAGCTTCGGATAAAACCTTATCCTACGTCCTTTGTCCCTCCCCTCTCTTTCTACCCTGTTGTGTCAACTTCAACTCTTTTTCATCTCTCGGCGGTCTCTTTTCATTTATTTCCCTACTACGTGCTTTTGACTCTCATCTTCCCTCGCAAGACTGCAGTCGACTGAAAGTACCATACCTACTTAGGACAGGGCACGAAGCGAACCAGGAGGGAGGGCCACGCTATCGAGCTCGACGTCGACGGACAACTTATCACCGCATGCTCCCAGTAATAACTACTTCATATCACAATATACAAACTAGATCTAATGTAAGGCTACACCGATGACAAACCTACCACACCATACATCACAACACCATAAAACAACATGGTATGACGTAGACCCACAAGGGTTTAAACATGTACATCTATTGTAGCAACTTCATTTCGAACAACCTAACCCAACCTAACATAACAGGTAACCTAACCTAACAAAAACAACCTAACCTAACGGATCACCTAAGCTAATTTTTGACCGAACCGATAGTTTAATTGAATCGCTTCGCTCATTCCGCCGGCCCATAGTGTAGCGTCGCTGGCACTTGCTTGCGTGCTCGGGGGGGCATTTGGGTGGCCTCCTGGGGCCGCTTGGGGGCCTCTTGGGGGCCTCCTGAGGGCCTGTTGGGGGCCTCTTGGGGCCTCTTAGGGGCCTCTTGGGGCCTCCTGGGGACTTCTGAGGGCCGAGGGCTCGAAATATTGTTTCGTGTTCCCCCCCTGGGGTCCCTCTTGGGGCGTTCTTGGGGCCCTCTTGGGCCGTCTTGGAGGCCTCTTGGGCCGTCTTGGAGCCCTCTTGGGCCGTCTTGGGGCCCTCTTGGGGGCCTCTTGGGCCCTCTTGGGGCGGTCTTGGGGGCCTCTTGGGCCGTCTTGGGGTGTCGTGAAGCCGAAAAGGTGGAAACGCCAAAATCTCTCCAAAACCTAAGGAAAAGCAGTGAATTTTGCCTCTTGGGGCCCTCTCGGGAGTGCTCTTGGAGGCCTCTTGGGGCGTCTGGGGGCCATCGTGGGCGTCTTGGAGCGATCTTGTGGCATCTCGGACCCCTCATGTAGCATCTTGGGGGCCTCTTGGAAGCCTCTTGGCCCTTCTTGGGGCTCTCGGGGACGTCTCGGAGCCGCGTTGGTGCGCTGCTGGAGCGCCCTGGTGACTCCTCCCGGGACTCTCTCGGGACCTTGCCGGGGTACTTTCCGCCCGGGGGCCCCCAGGGGCCGCCTCGCGCGCGCGAAGTAGAAAGATTGTAAAGCAGTCACCGGAGATCTTAGCACGCCTCTGGCCCGTTGGGCCGGCGAATTATTAGTTTAAATATGAGGGCAGCGGTTAGTCTATGTCTTAAGCTTGGGCTAATTCTTAGGGCAACGGTGAGTCTCACTAATAGGGTTTACTCGGTAGTCTAGATTAACCGAATTAGGTAACTTTAACCTTCGTAGGTTAGGTTAGACGATTTCGGTTAATCTAGCCGATCGGCTAGTTTTAGTCTCATGCAGTCTTAAGGGCTGTTGCTCCTCTTGTGCAGCCCAGCACATGGGCGTCTCTGACGGACCATGCCAGCCCCATCCATACTCTGGTCCGTCAGTCTGTGATGCCCAGCCAGATCGAGGAAGGAAGGAGAGAGGAGCACGGGGCCGTCGTTGATGAGGCCACCCGCGCGGCCACGAAATCATGAGATGTGCAGTTTTCAGTTCAGTGTGGTGTGGGCGACTTGCGCGCGAACAGGTTGCGCGAAGGTGTGTGGATCCGCCCGTTGCGCGCCGGCTGCCTCTGTGCTCGGCCCCTCTGATCATCCTGTTCCTCCAGGATGCCTGGCCCACTTGTTCATGCTCCTCCACTCCGTTTGGTGGTGCCGACAACTCAGCGAGTAAGGTATGGTGTATAGACACGTGCGTACATAATAGGGGTTAAATAGGCACAAACCGGGGGGCATCGCTTCCAATGAGAGGAGCCAAGCTGAGCACCATCGCGCTCCGTGCTGTGTGCCTACAGCATGTCAGGCCAATGCCCGCCTTCCTGGAATGTGTCCCGAACGATTGGTGGTCGTCCGTGCCTGCCTCGTGGCGCTCTGCTATTCTGTCGGCGTCCTTCCTGCGCCCCCCTCTTTCTTAGGGGAGCGAACAGTGACATAAACATAACAACTCGGAGGTCCGCGCGGATTTCTCGGATCGGCGTTGGACCCCCCTCCCTGGCGCGCGGAGCGCGCCAAAGGCGACGCCGGAAGCGCCGCCAGGGGGCCCCAGCGCCGATCCGGGAAATCCGCGCGGGCATCCGCGTTTATATGTTTATGTCATTGTTCGTTCCCCTCTTTCTCCTCGCCATTCGCTATCTAATGCACTGCCATGCCCTGGTTGGAATGTCCCAGTTGGGACGGGCGAGCCCTCCAGAGGAGTGCGCACGACTCCGGCGCTCGTCTCGCTTCGCTTCCTCGTCGCCTTTCTCGGAGGAGGGGGGGAGATGCGACACCAACACCACCAGGGGGAACACCTCCAGCGAGGAGGTCCACGATGCCTACCCGAGCTGGAGGCTGGGGATGTCTCGAGCGAGAGAGGGGGACCACTCTACCAGGGAGACCCCCGTTGCTCCTCGCATCTCCTCGCTTTGGTGGTGTTGTTGCTGCCTTTCCTGGTTCCTTTCTTCTTCGTTTGTTTACCACTCTCGCCCTGTCTTGTCGCCTCTCCTCGTCGCTTCGCTTGGCCCATGTTAGGGAATTCGAGGAGGCCTCGGATGCCTTCAGAGGCGGGCGATAGGCGCCCGAACGCACCTGGCTTCTGGCCGCTTGCTCATCTCATCTCATCACCTCGTCGCCCACCCGCTTACTCTTCAGGTATCCAGCTTCGCTCTCTGGGTTACTGTCCTTCTCGCGGCTCGGGCTCCGCGGTCCTCGGTGGCCTCCTTCAACCCGCTTGGGCGCCCCTCCGCTGTACCCCCCCCTCTCTGCCCTCACCTGCTCCTTTTTGCGGATCCTGCTGGGCATCTGTTTGTTCTTGGCCATGATGATGGCGATGATGGGCATCATCGCAATCATTATCACCACCATCACAACCACCATCACCACAACCAACAACATCATCATCATCGTCATCATCATCAGCGTCATCATCATCATCATCATCATCATCATCATCATCATCATCATCATCATCATCATCATCATCATCATCATCAGCGTTGCCATCATCATCGCCAGCAGCATCGTGATCATGGTCATGATCATCATCACGATCATCCGTTCCAGCATTATCATCATCATCATCATCGCCACCGCCACCATCATCATCATCGTCATCATCACCTTGCTCAGCATAACCAGCATCACCATCATCAGCGCCATCATCATCATCATCAGCATCATCATCACCACCATCATCATCAGCATCATCATCAGCATCATCATTGTCATCGTCATCGTCAGCGTCATCCTCTCATCATCACCGTCGTCATCATCATCGTTGCCACCGTCGTCATGTCAAGCGTCCATGTTTGAATGCCTTATTTCTGCTCCATTTGTTTTCGCCCATGCTCCTCATCTTCATCCTCCTTCCCCATTTTTTATGGCCTGATCCTACTCCCCATATCTTACCCCTTCGCTGCCGCCTCCCTCGCCTCATCATCCTGTCTCTCTTCGGGCTACTCCATGCCATTCCTTTGCCCTTCCTTCTTCGTGGCCTTTTCCTGAAGCGGTGCCTGCATATTCCGTGCAGAAGTCGCTTGCCTCAAGAATCATTGAGTGGCCGGATGTATCTTGGAAGCTCTCTATTCTCCAGCCTTCGCTGTGTGCACCTCTTACATGGGTACAACAGACAGCGCCTGTCTTGCTGCCAGGCTCAATCTGACCGACGACATGTCGAGGTCCGCCATATTTGTAGACCAGGGGCAGCGAGTGTGACCAGCTTCCATGTGGGAATTTGTGATATTTCAAGAACAGGGAGTGGGGTCCAGTCTTTTAGTTTTCTCCCTAAGGGAGGTTGGCCTCAATACGGGTTTGTGTTTTTCATGTGTTTCCGACGTGATGACTAGACAGCAGCGTTGCATTCCGCCGCCTCATCGTTTTTTGAGCGCGGTCGCGCTGATGCATCTGAAGATGTGAATCCCGCGACCAGATTCGGCTCGCTATAGAAAGAATTTGACCAAAGGTGAAGACGGTCCAAGAAGGCTCGAGCAGTTATCGAGAAGTTGCTCCTGGAAGCCGAGCAGGGCCCCGAAAAGCCGCAGGACGGCCGCAGGGAGGACGGAAAAACCCAAATAACCGTCGGGCTCGGCCTAGAATGGGTACCGGAGGGCCCCGAAATGGGTCCAAAACGTGACCAGTTTTGGTCGAGCGCGGCGGAATGGAGTGAACGAGGACAACGGGAGTGGGAACAGCAGCATTCCGACGTATTTGTTGGCGCCCTGAAGAGGCTTCTGTGGGCTCTCTAGGGGCGCTCAGAGAGCTCGGGAGGGGCCCGAGAGGCAGTCAGGACGGCCGCAGAGAGTATCCGCAGATTCCAAGATGGAAGGAGGAACCCAGAGAGATGCACGGGAAGCCCAATAGAGGCGCAAGAAGAATCCCGAGACAGGTGGAATTGTCATTATTCTATGTGTTCTACGATGGTTGTTTGTTTATTGGGGTTTGCCCGTGTTTTGAACCCTAGTGAAAGTGGGGAGGCATGCAAAACGGTCCCAGGTGGTCATGACCGGCAAAATAATAATGATAATCATCATCATCATCACCATCATCAGCATCATCATCATTATCATCATCATCATCATCATCATCATCATCATCACCATCGTTTGTTTTTATATAAAAAGCGCCTTGAGCGGCTCCTGGAGAGGCTGTTGAGTGGGCCCGGCGGCGCCTGGCAAGCCGGCACCCGAAACGGTGGGGCCGTTTTGGGACGGAAGTGGTTGCCACAGGTTCCCGGGCATCGCCCCAGGCTTTCGGGCCAGTAGAGGGAGTGGCCCCCGCGGAGGACCACAGGAGGGGTTCGGAGAGGCTCGGAGGCAGATACATACATACATCCATACATATACATATACATATATATATATATATATATATATATATATATATATATATTGTATGTACAGTACATATACATCTACACATATATATAGTTATATATATAATATATATATATATATATATATCGAAGATGGTCGAGAGGGGGGAGAGGAGGAGGAGGAGGAGGAGGAGGAGGAGGAGGAGGAGGAGGAGGAGGAGGACGACGCCGACGACGACGAGCGAACGATCAGTGAAGGTTTTGTCTTTTTTGTGGTTTGCGGGTGCTGGGGGGGGCGACCATATATACATGTATGTGTATCGATCGGCGGCCGCGGTAGAGACGAATCTGTATGATCATGTGGGGGGGGCGCCCATATATATATATATATATATATATATATATATATGTACACACAACTATAAATCTATAGTAATATAGTATGACAAGTGCGCAGCCCTTGCAGACCGTGCGGTGGTGGTCTCACACGCCGTACCTGGTGGGGCGGCGGAATGCTTCGCGCATGCTGCCAGCTCATACCGTGTACAGTGTTTAGTGGCCTTCGGCCAGAGTGGGTCGTGGACAAGAGGCCTGGGTGGCAGGCTTGTTGGGGTCTCTCTTGGGAGGCCCCTCTGGGGACGTGGCGGCATTTCGGGGCCTCTTGTTTGGCCTCTCGGGGGCGTCTTGGGCGAATCTGGGGGTCTCTTCGGGGCCCCTGGGGGGCTTGCTGGCGGTCTCGGGTGCCATCTTCGGCGGAAATTGGTCCAAATAGCAGTTCGGATTCCCATCGTGGGGGCCGCCGGAGCCACCCGGAGGGGCCTCTTGGATTGGGGCCCTCTTGGGCCATCTTGGGCCCACCCGCGGGAGCCCCTCTTCGGCTGTCTTGGGGCGATACTGGGGGCCTCCTGCGCCGTTTTGAGGGGTCAGGAGGACCAAAAGGCCATAACGCGCAAATCCTTTTTGACAAATTATGGCATCTCAGCGAGTTTGACCCCTCGGGCCTCCTTGGAGGTTCTCCTGGGGCTCTCTTGAGGCGTTTCGGAGGCGCCTCGGGCCATCCAGAGGTGATCTGTTGGGCGCCACGAGGGCGTCGCGCAGAGAACCAAAACAGCTCTTGATCGAGGGGGGCGCAGGGGCTCGGGGTGCAATTCGCCCGTGGACCCCCAAAGGCGGACCCGCGCGCGCGAACTAGGGATATTCTTTTCAGGAGGGGAAGGAGAAACAGACAATCAATCGCCGGGTTCCAGGAAGATATGGGAAAACATGGGAAGGGGGGTGGGGAAGACGAAGTCCCAGAAAACATAGGAACATACTTGGATTCTAGAGATTTGTGTATATTTATTTGTGTGCCCCTGGGGCCCTTTATCTGAACCTGCTACCAGGGATCTCAGCAACCAGGCTTGCGTTTCTTCCCCTCACTTTTCTCTCATGGCTTCGGTTGCAAACGGATGCGCTGGTGCCTTGGGGTCTGCCGAGCCAAATGGTTAAGTGCGTACAGCGCGTTTTTGAACATCTGGGTCCAATCAGTTGCGGCATGGTTGTTCTTGCAGGGTCAAATTGCGTCGAGAAATTTCTAGATCGGCTTCTAATGGGATCGCTTTGCTTGCCGCTATTTCTAGCTGCCTCTTTGCCCCTATGTTGCGCCACACCACGCTATTGTGGGAGGCTTCGCACTGTTGATTGCTGACTGGAGCCCGTATCATACCCGTATAAACCCAGTAGGTCTGGTTGTCACCAACCCCGTGGCCCCTGCCCTACCAGCCATGAGAGCCGCCGACGCAGGTCGTCACCGGCAGCCCATGCTAGCCCTTGCATGGCCCCAGCAGTCCTGGTCGCGGCCAACGGTGGTTGCCGTCACTAGCCTCTATTGCCCCAGCCCCTCTATCCCTGGTTGCCGCCAACGCTAGTTACCGCCACTAGCTTACGCTATTTCCTGCAGGGTTTCACCAGATGCGTCCACCGGCGCTTGCGATTCCCAACCTGGCCCGCCTTTTCGCTGCTCAGGGTCCACACGCTGTTTATCCTTCTAGGCATTGCAGTCCGAACTGTAGAAAGTTCAGGCATGACGAAGATCTCTATTCTTCATGTTTCGCGTATCCCCACCAGCTAACTGAGAAACCCTGTCCATGAGAGTTGACGGGAAATAGACAACACGACACAAAGCGTGAAACAAAGCGGGTAACCAGGGCGAGCAGAGGAGGAGGAGGACAACAAGGACGAGAACAGAGCCTTCAAAATCGCCTTTGGGAGTCCTCCTTGCACTCTTGGGAGCGTCTTCGGCCATTCTAGGGCCATCTTGAAGCCTCAAACGCGCATCGGAAGCGAAAAAGCGAGAAGGCAAAGCGCATTGATTTGTCCTTGAGTATTTGACTGATGTGTGCCTCTTGGGGAGGTCCTGAGGGACTCCGAGGGCACTCGGTTCCGTCTTGTGGTCCTCGTCGGGCCTCTTAGAGGCATGTCGGACGCTATCTTGAACCATTTTCGACTCTAACGAGCCGCCGTGGAGACCATCTTGGAGCATCGGATGCCATCTTGGAGCCATATTGGGCCATCTTCGGCGCCTTAACCTCGCCCCCCTCGGTCCAGACCCAGGGAGGGGGGAGGCACACCTCTCCGAAGGGAGGAGGCAATAGAACTCGCTAGGCCACCTTAGCCCAAAATGCTCGTGGGATTCGGTATGTACCTCGCTAGGTATTAGAGTTGCGGAATCTCTCGCAAGTGGTTCAGCTTCTGCGGCATAGCCTGCACGCATGGATAAGGCGTGCATATAGGTGCGTGGATGGTCTGCTGTGGGGTTGGGGCAGGATGTGCTCTCCACGGCCAATGGAACATGTAGAGCGAGTGTGGACACCATTGTTAGCCGATCAATGTTTTTCGCGGGATGGTGAGTGAACTGTCGAGTTTCGGCAGGCTCTTGCGTACCAGGTTCTTGTGTTGAATGTGGTAGATCGTTGTTCCGTTCGACATGTAGATGTATTATTCCCAGCTGTCTTTTGCCAAGCACTTTGGTAATGAGACGCCCAAGGCGAGATATGCTAGATCCTGGACCATACGAGGAGGCACCGGCTATCTTTGATTTTTTTGTGACACACGCGTGCGTAATGCCCCACACGTTGCGAACGGGACCAAAAGATTTACATTGCTGTCATTGCGAAGTCACTCCGTGGAGGGCATCGTAAGGGCAGTGCCGCTGGGGTCTGGGGAGTTGCACCCATCGACAGATTGGATGCAATTCGAGGTCTTCGCCGAGAGTTTACGGTTCAGCATTCTGGCGCATTGATGGGTCGCCCTTATGGTCTTCAGTTTCGCCTGGCTCTGCTCTGTCACCAGCCGCTCAGCAGTGTATTCGTTACGATCGAACTGGGTACGGAATGAATGGGTGCGGAGATCAACAGCAGTTCCTGCATATTTCGAGCAGGCATCGCTGCCTTTGCAGCCGCGGGCACTGTCCCTTTCATGCAGAGGGCCCCCTGCCCAACAGCGGCCGCTCTCGGTTTTGGGCAGCATTTGTTGTTGGGCGTCGCGCCCCTGCTTCCCGAACCACTCCGGGCGTCCAGACGTGTGTTTGCGGCGATGTGCTGTTTCGGTTTGTCCCTGTGGTCGCGCGGTCTGTGCCTCGCTCTCGCCCCGGCCGCCCGCGAAGAGCGGTGCGCGTGAAATTGCCCACGGAGCATTGGCTTTCTCTCTCGGGCCCAGGCATGTCGGAGCTCGCGGATTGCAGATGCGGCAACACGTATCGGCGGCGAGCCGGGGTGGGACGTCAGACGGGGCGGGCCTTCTCGGAGAGCGGCGGGTTTCTCGGAAGCTCTCGCGCCTTCCCTGAGAACTTGTTTAAGTTTTCTTCGAAGACAGAGGTTGCTTCTCAGAAGGCCCGAGGGCTGCTGATCAGGCCCGCCGCTTTATGAGAAGGCCTGACCCCTGTGATGCACGTGCTGGGTCAGCTTACTCCACCGATCAGCGTTGCCCCGCTCTGCCTTGGTCTGCTCTACGTTGCCCTGACCTGGCCCGCTTACCCTGCCCTGCTCTCTCCACTCTACTCTAGTCCACTCCACTCGCATCTTCTCTGCTCTCTTCTGCCCTCGAATCCACTCCACTCTAGTCCAATCCACTCGCATCTCACTCGAATTGTAGTATCCAGATGCCCGCGGCAAATTCGCCACCGTGTCAGCAAAGCACCTTGTGCGGCCGAGCTTTGAGCACCGAACCGAAGGTCGTCACATGTGGCTCCTGTCGGCCTCCCTTCCAAGAGGATCCCTCGTGGGGCTTCTGGGCCGGTTGGGGCTGTCTCGGGCTCCTGCGGAGCAGTCTAGAGATCCCGCAGGGCCCTCTTCGGGAGACCACCTACGGGAGACCACCTTCGGGAGACCACCTTCGGGAGACCACCCACGGGAGACCACATACGGGAGACCACATACGGGAGACCACATACGAGAGCATACGCGAGACCGCGCGGGAGACCATGCGGGATCTCATCCAGTCACCGGTGGTCCCGAGGCTGGCCGCACCCTCCGCCTGGGAGGCCCGAAGGGGAGACCGTCCGGGAGAGGATCCGTTCACCGACGCCAGGGCCAGCCAATCCCCTGCCTGACCCTAAATTCGGGACGATCGACATGGGTACCCATCGGTCGCCGAAAGCAGGTATTTCTGGGGTCCCAGATTCCAATCAATTGTAGGCGCCTTCCGACTTCAAGTTTCTACCTACCTCTTCCGACCGATGGGTACGATGCCCAAACGGAGTTCGTGTTCATTTTCAGCAGGACTCGCTGTCTGCGCCGCCGCAGACGATGTTCACTGAAGATAGGATAGAAAGCCGCCTGCCCAACAGCGGCCGCTGTCGGTTTTGGACGACATTTGTTGTTGGCCATTGTACGTTTTTTCTGTATCCTTGTTCGGACGTCCAAGTACACACAAGGGATTCAGGGATTCTTAAGTTTTGTAGGCGTACGACATCCTTGAGAGATCTCTTCAGGGGGGCTGTCTTGGCTTGGACCACCTTGGTTCGGCCACCTCTGCTCGGGGCCACTTTGGGTTCTCTTGGGGCTCCCTTGGCGGAATATTGGGCCTGTTTCGGGGTCACCTTGGGGCGTGCCACCCCTTGGTGGCCGCTCTTTGGCCAGCCTGGGCCCTCTTGGAGCTGTCTTGGGCCTCTACTGGGGCGCTCGCCGGTGTCGGTGTCTGAGTGCCGCCCCCAGGCGCAGATCGGGGCCAGGACCATGTCCATTATAGTTTTTTTTTATGCTCGCTCATCACTTCGCGTGGCAAATGGTGACCCCCACACAGAGTGTATGGATGTGCCCCAATTCCTGTCGCCTGGAGTATCGACCGGACAGTTAGACAGTGTCCAGTTGCTTGCGGCACACCCCGCCACAGTGCTTGTGCAACGGCGTTTCACGAAGGAGAACGAGTTCAGAAACAGCGCAAGTCCAACAAGTGGTATGTCTGGTTCAGTGAGTGGTGGTGAATTGGTCTGAGTGGTCAGTCAGTGCAGTCAGTTTAGAGAAGTTGTTCCCAGCGTCAGTTCAGTGAGTGGTCTGAACTGGGAAGGGAGGGTCGTAATCCCGACATCGTCTGCGTTGGCGCGGTAGGGAAAAGGAGGAGGAAGAGGAGGAGCAGGAGGAGGAGGAGGAGGAGGAGGAGAATGAGGAGGAGGAGGAGGGAGGAGGAGGAGGAGGAGGAGGAGGAGGAGGGAGTGGGAGGAGGAGTGGAAGGAGGAGGAGGAGGAGGATGAGGAGGAAAAGGAGGAGGAACAGGAGGCGGAAAAAGGAGGAGGAGGAGGAGGAGGAGGAGGAGGAGGAGAGAGGAGGAGGAGGGGAGGAGGAGGAGGAGAGGGGGAGCATGAAGACGAGGAGGAGAAAACGTATTTGGGTCCTCTTGGGGCCTCCTGGGGGCCTCCTGGGCGTCCCCTTGGGGGCCTTCTGGGGGCCTCTTGGGCCGTCTGATGGAGGCGATTGCCCCGTCCTGCGCATTCGGAGGCCGTCTTGGAAGCCTCTCTGGGCAGTCTTGGTACCATCTGGGCCATCTTAGGGTCCTCTTGGGCCGACTCGGTGCCCTCTTGGCGGCCTCATGGGCTGTCTGCGAGCCATCTTGGAAGCCCCTTGGGCCGTTTTTGTCGGTCGGGAACCCACAAAGGCGAACCCCCCACTGAAATTACATGATTTGTGCCTCCTCGGGCTCTCCTGGAGAGCCTTTTGGAGCCCTCTTGGATCATCTTGAGGGCCTCTCGGGCCGTCGTGGGCCGTCTTCAGGCCCTCTTGAGTCGTCGCGTGTCGTCTGGAGCCGTTTTGGTGTCGTCTTGGTTGCTTGAGAAGCCGTCCTGAAGGCAATCTTGGCCATCTTGGCCTGGGATGACCCCTGGACAGCCCAATACGGCCTCACGACGGTCTCAAGAGATACCATTGACGGCCGCGATGGCCCCACGAGAGCCCCAAGACGGCCCATGCCCCGAGACGGCCCAACAGGGCCCCAGGGGAGCCCCAAGACTGCCCCACAGGAGCCCAGGACAGCCCAAAGACAACCCAAAGGCAGCTAAAATGAGGTCCATAAGGGCTCGCCGATAAGTGAAGACGAAAGGTGTCACATGTGACGACTTTCCTCCTCGTCCTTCTCCTCCTCCGCCTTCGCTTCCTCATCATCCCATTGCCACAAGCTTCATCATTTGATCATGCTCATTATCATCAGCGTTATCATCGTCCGCATCATTATTATCACTATCAGCATCTTCATCAATAGTACTAACATGTTTCATCATCCTCATCCTCATCCTCGTCCTCATAATACTCACCAGCAACTTCATCTTCATCACCATCATCGATTCGAGCAGCTGCCACCTAGATTGCTTGACAGGCGCGGTGGCGGACTTGCTGCAGGCAGCCAGATCACAACTGCAATCGTCCTCATTAGCAGACTTCTAGAAGCTTTGAGAAGCTTTTTGGAGGCCCCCGGAGGCTCGTCACAGGGGCTTTGCCAGCGTGTGTGGGGGTGGAGGGCTGTCTGGGCCTCTGCCTGCAGCCAAGCCCCGCCCGCGTGCTGTACCCGACGACGATTTTTTCAGCCTCTGTAGCACTCCGGGCCACACAAGAAAGCCCACCGGGCCACGCTGACACCCCGCGGGCCACACAAGCACCGTCTCTCCCCCCTTCCCCCTCTCCTGCTCCGAATTCGTGTGCAGGGAAGGGCTCAGAGAAGGAAAAGGTACCCTTACCTCTACCCTTCGCTCGCTCGTTTACCCTTTTTTTTCAGGCCTCCTGGGGGGCTCTCGTCTCCACCGCTGGATTCGCCTCGCAATCCTGGTCAGAACGCACCCCGGGAGAGGTCGGGGGAGTGGCGGTATGGGTACCTTATGGTCTCCCCAAGGGCCTGCCGTGGTGTGCGTCTGTTGGCTTCTGCTCTCAGCGCCGCGACTGCAGGCTCGAGCTGTGCCAGCACGGTGACTGTGTGGCCCAGCCACCGCAAGCCCAGCTCGGTATACGGGAAGGCTGGAGCCCTTGAAGCCTGACGGCTCTTCCACCGATCCTCGGGACGTGTGAGCGATGGGGTTGGCTGCGAGCCTGCTGTCCCTGCCGCGATGGAGTTGTTTTGTTCTCAGTCGGCTCTCCCGAGGACGTCCGCCACTGGGCGGGGGGGGCAGGGGTGCTGCCTGTGCCCACAGGGGGGGGGGCAGGGCGCACGGGCTGGGGCTTCTGGCGGGGGCCTCCTCGCAAGCCCGCCCGGCTTCCAAGCAGCCTTCCTATAGGACCAACTCGCTGGAGTTCTCCAAGAAGTCCCCTGCCTTTTCACGAGCCCCCTCCCTCAGTCCTCGCACTTCCTTTGTGAGCGCCTCCAATAAGGGGATGTGCTGGGTGACGTAGCGATTCGCGCCGGCGCCGTCGTGGGCATTCGCTGCCCCTCGCCATTCCCAGACGCCATTGGCGGGAACCGTGACGATAACCCACGTGGGGAAGAGGTGGGTCCCCGGTCACGGGCTATATCGTGGATCGCTAAACACGTGTCCTTATTCAGGAGGTCTAGCCATTTTGGCTCTGGCACGTTGCCCTCGAGAAAAGTTGTGCAGAAACAGCTCCACGAATTTCCGAATGGCGATCAATCGTGGCATGAAAGCTCTCGCGCAAGGTTTCGCATTGATGCTGATGGCCAGGGGTGCTCTCGCGGGTGGTTTCGGTCTTGGGGACATCGGGAAAGCGGTGGAGGCCGTCGGCAAGGACCGCGGCATCGAGGAAGCCGTGAAGGAGGTCGCCTCGGGGGAGGTGGCGGTCGAAGACGCCGTGTCCCGAATCGCCAACAGCAGCCGCACGGTCGCCCAGGCTCCGGGAAACAAGCAATGACATAAACGTAAATTTTCGGAAGCCCGCGCGGATTGCTCGGATTGGCGCTGGCCTCCGCTCCTTGGCGCGGAGGCGCCCCTAGGGGGCCCAGCGCCGATCCGAGGAATCAGCGTGGACCTCCGCAAACCTAATATATGCATGCATGCATGTATGTATGCATGTATGCTTGTATGTATGTATGCTCGTATGCATGTGTGCATGTTTGCATGTGTGCCTGTCTGTCTGTCTGTCTGTCTGTCTGTCTGTCTGTCGGTCGGTCTGTCTGTCTGTCTGTCTGTCTGTCTGTCTGTCTGTCTGTCTGTCTGTCTCTCTGTCTGTCTGTCTGTCTGTCTGTCTGTCTGTCTGTCTGTCTGTATGTATGTATGTATGTGTGTACGTTTGTAGTTATGCATGTACGCACGTACCTACGTATGTATGTATGGATGTATGTATGGATGAATGTATGTATGTAGGTATGTATGCTTGTATGCATGTTTGTATGTGTATGTATGTCTGCATGTCTGCATGTCTGTATATATGTATGCCTGTACGTCTGCATGTATGTATGTATGTATGTATGTATGTATGTATGTATGTATGTATGTATGTATGTATGTATGTATGTATGTATGTCTGCATGTCTGTATGCCTGTATGTCTGTATGCTTGTATGTCTGTATGGATGTATGTATGTGTGTAGGTATGTGGGTGGGTGGGTAGGTCGGTAGGTATATCTGTACACATATACACGCGTCTATGCGTATATCCATACACAAACACCGATGCCCGTCCGTGCAGTTTTTCTAGGCATCATAGGGGAGGGTTGCGGTGTACACATCACTGCGGGCCAGCTATCTCTGATGCCTGCCCGCCCTCCCCCGAAAGGCACAGGGAACACACATTCGTCGGCGGGCCCGGGCCCTTCGTGTGCACACTTCCGTGGCGTAGGCCCTCCGAGCTTTCTGACGTTCATGCCACCGTCCGCTCCCCTGGCAGGCTGCGCGGGCCTCCTCCGACGCGGCGGACGCCCTCGGCAGAGCGGCGGCCGGCCCCGCCGGCCTGGGCCCGCAGGCGGGCCAGGCGCTGGGCAGGGCCGCGGGCGGCGAGGTCGCGGAGGCCGTGCGGCACGGGGCCCAGCGGGCGGCGGCGGGCCCCGAGAGGCGCAGGGGGGTGGGGGGTCGGTGCATGTCGAACTCCTTCCAAGACCTGCATCACCCACGCGAGAACGCCGTCATCATCGCCGGCGTGATCAGCATCGGCGCCGTGACTGGCCGTGCCGTCGTCGTTGTCAAAATCGTCGCCAGCATCGCTACTATTTATCGCGTGTACCGTTGTCGACGTTGCCATGACACCGCGTCCGCCCAAGTCGCCGACTCGCGCTGAAGTGCCCGTTGGGAAGCGCCCAGCGGTCAGCGCCACCGCGGCCGCGCTGTCGCGCCAAAATAGCTGGCCGATATGCGCGCGAGCATGCGCGCTAGCTCGGCAACGGCGATGCGCCAGCCAGCGCCGAGCAGTCTTCACCATCGCCGTCGCTTGGGTTGTGCAAACCAAGTTGCGGATGGGGGGTGGGATGATCGCGCGAACAGTGGACAAATTCAAGTTCGTCAGGGTTAGTTCCACCACATAGATGGCACCACGTACATTGATTCACATAGGTTGCATACCATAGGTTGTTACGAACACACACTGTTAGGGGCCGACGCTGGCTAAGTTTTTGCGTCCACGCACACGTGTGTCACAGTGTCTGTTCTTCCCCCAGTTCTAGCTGGGACGATCCACGTTGCAAATGTGTATATCTACGCTTAGCATGTACTTACACAAAGTCATAGATGTACATGGTTCGATGTGTGCTTGTATTGATGTATGGATGTCCACTTCCGTACAGCTGCACACAGTCCGTATACACATGGCACTACACAGCCATATGTGTATGTATTGAACCCGGTTGCTTCAATGGCCGCCGTGAGGAAGATTTCCCCCTGTACTCCTACATGATTGTTCCTGTCGTGATCAAATGCTTCACGCTCCTCGCACCCCCACCAACCCGTACAGTGACACTGCCCATGAGAGGTAGCGGGAAAGAAAGGGACGAAGAGACACAGATAGTGAGACGTAGCAGACAACCGGGATGAGCAGAGAGATCTCTCAGAGCAAGGAGGTGGCTTTGGCGGATCCACGAAGCCCGGGGACGAGGGGAGGAGGAGGAGGAGGAGCGGGAGGAGGAGGAGGAGGAGGAGGAGGAGGAGAGGAGGAGGAGGAGGAGGAGGAGAGGAGGAGGAGGGAGGAGGAGGAGGAGGAAGGGGGAGGAGGAGGAGGAGGAGGAGGAGGAGGAGGAGGCGGAGGAGGGGGAGGAGGAGGAGGAGGAGGAGGGGGAGGGGGAGGGGGAGGAGGAGGGGGAGGAGGAGGCAATCCGCTTCTTGTGGCCCTCGTGGGGCGCTCTTGGGCGCTCTTGGGGCCCTCTTTTGGTCCTCTTGAGGCCATCTTGGGAGCCCTGGAGGGCCTCTTGAGGCCATCTTGGAGGCGCTTCTTGGGGCGCTGTTTGGTCGATCTTGTGGTCTCTTGGGGCCCTTTTGGGGGCTTCTCGTGCCTCTTGGAGCTCTCTTGGGCCATCTTGGGGCGCTCTTGAGGCTTCAAGAGCGCATCGGAAACGAACTGGCGAGAAGGCATCACGCATTGATTTTACGACAGTCTCTGAAGATCTTTGGCCCCCTGGGGGGGCCTGAGGGGGCTCCGAGAGCACTAGGAGCCGTCGTGCGGTCCTCGTCGGGCCTCCTGGATGCATGTCGGAAGCTGTCTTGAACCATCTTCGGCTAACTTGAGCCGCCTTGGAGGCCAGCTTGGAGCATCGGGGGCCCACTTGGAGACGATCTTGGGCTCCCTGACCCCTCGCGAAACTCCCCGACAAACCTCAGGGAGGGGAGGGGGAGGGCACCCCTCCCCGAGGGGAAGAGGGGTTGGTAGAGGATGTGAAGTCTATCGTTCGACCACTTACGCCCCAAGGGCTGGTGGCGGTTGCCCGCTGTAAGTTGCGAGCTCCCCCTGCGAAGGCTGGCGGGGGACGCCAGCCGGGGCGCGCAGGCGCTCGCGGGCGCAGGCGCCCCTCGAGCCGCAGGCGCGCTCGGGGACGCCGCCCGGGGCGCGCCCGCGGCCTCGGCGGCGGCCTCGGCCGCCGTGGGCCGCGACGCCGAGGCTCGCGGGCCTCCCGGCTGGGCGTCCGAGCAGGTGGGGTCGCAGGCTCGCGCCGCACCGCCCGGCGCGGCGGCGGTGGTGCGGCTCGAGGCAGAGCCCGGTGCGTCCCCACGCCGCCGCGTCGCCGAGGCGGCGCCGAGGCCTCGGCCCCAGCACTGCTCGGGCCCCGGCCGGGAGGCCTCCGCAGAGGCGGCGGCAGGCGTCGGGGAGAGGGCCGAGCACGGCCTGCCCGGCGCGGGCGAGCGGCTCCGGCAGACCGCGCAGGGCGCCCTGGGCACGCTGCTCCAGGCCTGCGTCGGGCATGTCCCTTGCTCCGGAGGAGGAGGAGTCCGGGGGCGATGGTTGCGACGCCGCCTCCCGCTATGCTTGAGTATTTTTGGAGGCCCCGTTTTTCCTAATTTTCCTTCCAAGAACCGCGCCTGCAGGAGGGCATGCCCGATCCACAACCCCAGGGCCAGAGCGTCGAGGGGGCTGCGGCGGAGGTCACCAGCTCCGGGAAGGCGCCGGAGGCCATCGCGATGGCCGACCTCGGCAGGATCTCGGAGGAGGAAGAGGGACCCGTGCTGCTACCCTTCGGCCGCTTTCCCCGTTTTGGGCTTCCTGGGAGGCCCTCGTCGCCACCGCTGGATTCGCCTCGAGTTCCTGGTGAGAACGCACCCCTGGAGACGTCCGGGGAGTAGCGGTATCGCCCAGCGTTTGATCTCCCCAAGGATCGAGGACGCTGTGCTCGCGTCCGCGAAGAAGGACCAGACCATCGCGGAGATTGTGCGAGGCACTGGCGTCGACGGCATTGGGGCGAGAGCCGGCGTCGCCGAGCCCGGCCCGAAATTGGACCAGGCCGTGGGCCAGGCAGCAATTTTCTTGGAGAGGGAGGGGGCCATTGCTGGTTCCGTCACAGACACGCGCTTTAGCAGCCTGGTGAATAAGACGAAGGTTACCGGCCTCGAGGGCTTCTTGAATTTGGCCAGCGCCGTCAGCCCCAAGCAGGATACGGTTGTTGCCAAAAGCTCGACCTGGCACGATTTGGTCGATGCTGTCAGCGGCGCCAGGAAGGGTGATCTCGACAGTGCCATGGCGAACTCCGAGCAAGCCGTGCGGAGCATCGCGAGTCGCAAATTTCTAGAGCCGGTTGGTGGGGCTGACGTGGATGACCAGCCTAGGGGCAGAAGGGTCGTTGGCCACTCTGCGGTGATAATGCCCATCGTCTTGTTCAGCTTCTTCGGTATCTGTGTCATGGTAATGTGCCAAGCCCATGCCAGATCGGATAGCATGTCTGTGCTAGGTGACGACAGCGAGGAGGAAATGGTTGAGCTTGGCACGAGCGCGCGGGATATAGTTTCCAGCACGCAGAGTGGGAACCCAGCAGCATTCGACCAGTTTCAATCGCGTGCTTAGCGTCTGCGCACAATCTCAGATTTATATGCACTGTGCAGAATTCGAGTAGCGCATGCGATTACGCAGCCGCAGCGGCGCGCGCTCATTCATTTCGCTATCTTTTCGCTGTTTTGTCTTCGCAGCTAAGGATTGAGGGTGGTGCTCGGTCACAAATGCTGACATGTTCACGCAGTCCAGTCCTCATCCAGCGTCATCAGACCATCATACTTGCTTTTTCCCGTGCCCCTCCAAGGAGAGAGCGGAAGGGATGAGCTTGCGCGCCACAGTGCGATGCCAGCTTCGACACTGCATTCAAGGATGGGAATCGTATTGATCGATTCTTCATCTTGTCTCCACTTGTCCATGAGCCTTTGACAAGCCGGACCTGTACTGCTGTTGAGGTGAAGCGCCCTTCTTTTTCACTTGCGTCCCCACTTCCCCTCTCGTCCTCGTCCGATCCCTCCCTCCATTTCGGTACCTCATCGGCTTCCTCCGCCTATCCCCACTTCCCTCTGTGCCGAAGAGGGTGACCTCAGGAGAGCTCCAGGATGTCCCCGAAGGAGAAACAAGAGGGCAACAAGAGTTTAGAATCCTCAATCATCGTTCGGATCACGCGGAGGTGGAGGAGGAGGAGGAGGAGGAGGAGGAGGAGGAGGAGGAGGAGGAGGAGGAGGAGGAGGAGGAGGAGGAGTAGGAGGGCGGAGAGGAGGAGGAGGACCCTGAGATCAGACGTCGCGAAAACGTTATAAAGATCACGACCGAAGTCCGAGCCTCTATCTGTCTGCGGCATTTCTCGAGGCAGATTTGTCCGTGAGGGCCCCGAGGGCCCGAAACCAGACGAGCACGCCCAGCGTACAAAC